CTAGCCCTGAATACCCAAAGGCTGGCATCATGCCTGTCAAACACAGGTGCTCTTTTGCTGAATGTATAAATGGAATGAAAGAAATAAAGCTAAAGAGTCAAGGACTTCCATAACCTGGCCCTATTGTACCTTCTCAATCACATTTTCATTAATCTAGGTCAATTCACTGCTCCCTGTGAAGGTCTCTGGTTCCTTCTGAGACTGTAAATTCTACCGAGACTTTACTGTTCAGCTTAAAACTCATCTCCACTAAGAGCCCCAATTCAGAAATACCCAGCCTCCTCCTTTCCTTCCATTACCTCCTCTTTCCTTCCATTAGACTCCTATAGCACTTGTTCATCATCCTGCTAATCCAGCCTTTATCATGAAAGCCTAGCAGGGTTAGCTCTGCAGAGTTAACTTACTACTCATGCAGGTAGGTCTTAGGTCTCCACTTAGACCTGTACTGTGTAATGAAGTAGTCACTGGGCATATGTGGCCACTATGTATAAATCAATTAAAATTAAATGAAATTTAAAAGTCAGTTCCTCGGCCGGGCACGGTGGCTCAAGCCTGTAATCCTAGCACTCTGGGAGGCCGAGGCGGGCGGATTGCTCGAGGTCAGGAGTTCGAAACCAGCCTGAGCAAGAGCAAGACCCCGTCTCTACTATAAATAGAAAGAAATTAATTGGCCAACTAATATATATATATAAAATTAGCCGGGCGTGGTGGCGCATGCCTGTAGTCCCAACTACTCGGGAGGCTGAGGCAGCAGGATTGCTTGAGCCCAGGAGTTTGAGGTTGCTGTGAGCTAGGCTGACACCACGGCACTCACTCTAGCCTGTGCAACAAAGCGAGACTCTGTCTCAAAAAAAAAAAAATAAATAAAAAATAAAAAAGTCAGTTCCTCATTTGCATTAGGTACATTTCAAGTGTTCAACAGCTACTAAGGGCTAGAGGGAACCATAGATATAGCACAGATATAGAAAATTTCCATCATCACAAAAATTTCTGAGTGCCATACAGTGAAGATGGTACTTATAACACCTCATAAACAGTGACAGCTCAATAAATACTTAATAGAGTAATAAAAAAATAACTTGCTGGATAAAAGAACTTTAACATGACCCTAATTACATTGTAGACAGTTGTCTTCCACATTAGCACAGGGTCTACACATTAAGTTAATGCCCATTGCTAGGTCAAGCCTTCAGTTTTAGAGAATCCAAGACAATAATAGTCAACTATACAAACAACATTTATATGGTATTTATCTGGTTTATAAAGTGCTTCATTCTTCAATCATCTGGCTAATATATTTTTGGTGAGGAGCACAGGGAATCAGGTTAAGTCTAACATTTACTTAGTGGCAATTAAGTGCCATAGTGTGAGGTAATTTTCCTGTGTTTTCATTAGGCTCACAAGATCAAGATGAAACTGAGGCTGAGAGACCGTATCTATTCACACTGAACCAGAACTAAACCACATCTCACCCACTTTATCTTCGATTCCTTCTAGCTAGGTATTTCTACATAAATAAAGTCAATATATTTAATAGAGTGGACACTGGCTAATAAAATTACAATCTCTCTTGTGTTTGGAGAAGAGAAAGGTTAAAAACGAAAAACGTGCCGGGCGCTGTGGCTCACGCCTGTAATCCTAGCTCTTGGGAGGCCGAGGCGGGCGGATTGCTCAAGGTCAGGAGTTCAAAACCAGCCTGAGCAAGAGCGAGACCCCGTCTCTACTATAAATAGAAAGAAATTAATTGGCCAACTGATATATATATTTAAAAAAATTAGCCGGGCATGGTGGCGCATGCCTGTAGTCCCAGCTACCCGGGAGGCTGAGGCAGAAGGATCACTTGAGCCCAGGAGTTTGAGGTTGCTGTGAGCTAGGCTGACGCCACGGCACTCACTCTAGCCTGGGCAACAAAGCGAGACTCTGTCTCAAAAAAAAAAAAAAAAAAAAACGAAAAACGTTTATAGCACTAAAAGTGTAATTAGATATTGTAAAGTTAGACACTAACTTTAAAGATACTGCATTTTTTTCCTTTTAATTAGAAATAAAGCCACTCTATTTGGGGAGTAAAAGGGCTGGATCAGGAAAAGAAGTATAGGCAATTTTGGAAAGCCCAAATTAGAAGACATTTTAAAAGATGAAGAGTAATATTATTGAAGATAGTTGTACAGTAGGGAATATATACTAAAATATAGCTGATGATTAATATTAATCGATTTAAATGTTTAGACCTATATTACAAATCATTTAAAATTATTTAAATGCCCAACTTATCTCCCTTTTAAATTCTGAATGACCCAAATGCTTACTAATAATTTTAAGTTATATACTGATAAAGAATATATTAATGAGATTTCACAGTAAAAAAAATTACTAAGGGTGTGGCATTAAAGTCCTTTAAGAGTTTTGGTAAGTGTCATCCAGAAGAACTGGGACATGTTCCAAACTGCACTGTCAACCTGCCAAGCCAGTGAACACTCAATCTCCATTTCTTCAAATATGAAATAATTATGCTCTATTTACCACAAAGAAGAGAAACTAAGATGATTACTACATTTTTATTAGACTTCTAACTTCTGCTATAATTTCTTTTAGAAAAATAACACCAATGATGAGAAAATAGGCCCTTCATTTGTCCAACTTTTTTTTTGAGGATGTCTCTTATTTGCACTAAGGCTCCCATTCTCAAGAAAGGATTGAAAGACGGATACACAAAAAGGCATCAAAGCATTCTTTAGAAAGCCCAGCAACCACTATGGATACTGCCAGGAAATCATTCCAAACACTCTCATTTTGAGAAAGGCAGCAGTTATAAGGCGAAGGGAAGTGGATGCTGTCAGAGGTGGCAGGTGTGTTTTGAGGCCAGCAGTGTTTTGTTTTTTAATGAGACACAGTTGCAGGTCTCCAATGGTGTGCCACAAGGGAGCAAGACATCTGAGGACTTCTTTTAAAATCATCATCTTGGAAGAAGAAAACACTTTAAGATGTAGGTCTGGCAACTCTTTTAGGCAGAAAAGCTGAAGGGGTTAGAAGGCTTAAAAAATTAATTCATGTGTTCCAGTCTAAAAAAGAAAACATTAAAAATAAATCCCCAAAACTAGATAAAGTGAAAATGTGAACTGGATTCCATGTTTCTTTCCTTTGGGGAGGAGTAGTGTCAATGGAAAAGAAAAGATAAAGTCTGTAAAATAATTCTAAAGAGATTTACTCTGAGCCAAATTTGAGGACAATGACTCAGAGCCACGCTCAAGAAGCCTTGAGCAAGTGGCAGTGGCTGGGTTACAGTTTGGTTTTATACATTTCAGGGAGACAAGGGTTACAGCTAAAATCATAAATCAATATCTGGAAGGCATACATTGGTTTGGTCTGAAAAGGTGGGCTATCTGGAAGCTGAAGCCAGGGCTCACAGGTGAGTTTAAAGATTTTTTGGCTTGTAATTGGTTAAAGACATGAAGCTTTGTCTAAAGCTTGGAATGTTTTAACATAGGAGCTGTTTATCAGAGATAAACCACCTGACATATATTTGTTGTATAAACTGAGGACCTGTAGGTTTGTCTAGCATACCCTTAGGCCTATTAATGGGTTACAAAGGACTTCCCTAAGAAGGGAGGGCTCCATGATAAGGCATGTCTGACCTCCCCTCCTCCCGGCAGACAATTTAGTTTTAGAATATTCCTTTGGCCATGAGGGGGTCCATTTAGTCAGCCGGTGGGGGGGTGAGCCTTAAAATTTTATTTTAGTTCACAGTAAGAATGGGAAAGAAGTTACACTCTTGCTTCTTACTTCTTTCTATAATGTTGTAGATCTCTCTCTCTCTCTCTCTCTCTCTCTCTCTCTCTCTCTCTCTTTTAACAGCTTCCTTTTAAATGGTTACATAAAAGCAGAAGTGTCAGATTAGCACTCTGGGAGTCCCAGAAGGGAGGATCACTCAAGGTCAGGATTTCGAGACCAGCCTGAGCAAGAGCGAGACCCCATCCCTACTAAAAATAGAAAGAAATTATCTGGACAACTAAAATATATATACAGAAAAAATTAGCCAGGCATGGTGGGACATGCCTGTAGTCCCAGCTACTCGGGAGGCTGAGGCAGGATAGCTTGAGCTCAGGAGTTTGAGGTTGCTGTGAGCTAGCCTGATGCCACAGCACTCTAGCCCGGGCAACAGAGCCCAACTCTGTCTCAAAAAAATAAAAAATAAAAAAAAGAGTAAAGACTCTTGTGGTATCTTCCCAGAGTACTCCAAGAAAAAGGAAAGAGGGAAGATATTTCATGTGCCAGTCCTGTAGCGTTCTGCTGAAGAGGGCAGCAGTGTTGGGATAAAAATGAGTTTACATGTTCCCTGTAACTATGAATCAGCTTATGCTAATAAGTATCCAGGCTTCATCTGCTTTATCTCAGACTCCACACTATGCCCACAGAAGCTTCTCTTGAGAACGCTGTTCACCTTCACAACACAGTATTTTATCAGAGTCACCTTACAATCTTGTAACAAGTACGGAGAAAGTCAAAAGCAGCCTCAAACTACCTTTAGTTAGCAAACGGAGGGGGTTTTGGCCCATTAAGAATAAGAGGATCGGTAACCCCTTCTTGCCAACGTCCGGGATGAACCTCAAAGGAGTTGTGTTCACAAAGCACACACAGACCCACAGTGTTGTTTGTGCCCGTGCGTCTTAAACAGAAGTCGGACATGGACCTACGGGGGAAGTCTTTGGAGTTTCGTGAACTCCTGGGAAAGGGGAGGGAGGGAGAGAGAGAGAAACAAAGTCGTTCCGAGTGGAATTTCCGAGGTCACTTCTAGGGACTCGCCCGCGAGCGAGTCCCCGTAGCGGAAAGCTGGCCCCGCGGCTGCCGACAACGGTCCGCCCCGACCTCACTCTGCCTCCGCCCGAGAAGGGCGCGTGGGCCGGGACCTGCGGTCAGCCCGCCGCCCGAGGTCGGCTCGAGGCGCGGCCCCGCCCTCGCCCACCCCCGACGACCCCAGGAGGCGGCGGAGCCGCGCGACTCACATGTGCGGGTTCCTCCTGAAGGCGTTGGTGATGTCCTTCACCACCCGCTGCACCAGCACCGCCACCTCCTCGCTGGTCTCGGCCATGTTGGCGGCGGCCGCGGCGGCTCGGGCGCGCCGCCGGGAGAGCCGAGAGCCGGCGGGAGTTCCGCGGGAAGCGCGCGCGTGTGCGCACTGGTTTGGCCGCGCCTCCGCCGCCGTGGCCGCCGCCGAGCACTTCCGGGTCAGCCCGCCACCGGCGGGGACGTGGCGCCTTACTGCAGGGATTGGCAGCCAGCTGCCTGGCGCGTCCTTGACTTTGCCTTGGCACCGGTAACCGAGTTTCTCAGCGTCGGAGAGGATGCTGTAGATTCATTTGCAAAGTTACCTGAGGCCGCTGATTTTATTATTTTATTTTAATTTTTTAGTCTACTCGGAACCGAGGAAGAAGAAGAGGTCCTCAAGACACTCCCCGAGAGCCAGAGACTTGCCTGAACCCCCCAGACAGGTGCCCGGGAGTTCAGGATAGTTGAACTGGTAGGGCAGGCCTCTTGAACAGGTGGTCCCCGAGCGTTTTGAGAGCTTGTTCGATTTATTTTCCCGGCCAGAGGGAAAAGGAGGTCCAGAGACTTCGCAGCGGAGTGAGTCCCTATTTGACCGTGTTGGTGACCTCCTTTTGTACCTGCGTGCCAGTTTTGGCCTCTGAAATTAAAAGCAGCTCTTTTTTAAAAAAAAAAAAAAGTTAATTAAAATTTTTTAATGAATTCATTAAAGGAAGGCAAATGAAAGTGAAGGAAAAGTTACTTGCTGTCTGGCTATAGGAAGTTGAAGTTAAACAGATTTTTTCTACTTCATTTTTGAACATTGCTTCAGTTTTGGAGTAAGAAATATCAAGGCCCTGACAGAATTTACTCACAATCGCTATTTATCTTGCTACCAATATTTTTTGTAGTAAAAACCAGGTTTCTAGTCCATTTGGATTTTGAAATGTCATAATTCAGACTTTCATATATCAGCTTTTTTTTTTCTTTTGCCCCTTTGTGATAGAAAAGTCTTGTTTTAAGTTGTTTTTTCTTTCACCCTTGAAATCTATATCTTTTAAGAACTGTTTTTTTAAAAGCTAGTTTATTTTGTGTTTAATGTGAACATATGTGGAGGATTTAAAGTAGGGATTCTGATTGTGAAAGTAAAAACCATCCGTTGTGAATTAAATGAGAAATATAAATGAAAAATATAAATTAACTATACCCAGTCGTCAATATTAGCCTATGGATTTATTTATAAAGGCTGGACATTGGCCTGGTTTTAAAAGAAGTGAGAAAGAAGTTTCACAAAATTGTAGAAAGCAAGATGAGACAGGTTTAAGAAGAATTAGTAAAATCAAACCTTACACTCTGACAAGTTCTGGAATGAAGCAGTGAAATGAGTGGAATGTGTATTTAGATTCCAAAGCCAAGAACAACTTTAAATATCCTGGTTACCCTAAGAATTTGATAATCAGTTCTCAAATGGTTTGAGTTAAGTGACAAGTCTTCCTCTTAATCAGGACTTTGACAACCTAATGACAGTGGGAAATAAATCTCAACTTCTGAGGTCAGAGATCAAAACAGCACACTCAGAAATAAGAATTTTTTTTTCAGAAACTATATTTTTAAAAATTAGTATGATATTTTTTCATTTCACTCTAGTATATTTATGTTTAACAAGAAAAAATCTAAACTTTGTCCCCAATTCTTGATATAAAATTGGTATTCCAGAAAGATAATTCCTCTATATGACTCTTTGTATGCCCTCTGCACACACACACACTTTATACTTATTTAAAAGGCAGGCATTATATCTCATGTTTTTTCTAAGAGTTGACAAATTGTTTCACCTGATTATTAAAGTTCTATTATTTTTAAAACTTTAATTTTTTTTAGAAAACCTAATTTTACAGATACAGAAACTGAGGTTCAAAGAGGTTAAGATTTGAAATTCATGAGTCCTTAATAATGCTATGTATGTAAGAACAGGGTGTGATAAATTTAGCATGATTTTGTAGAAGGACTAAAAGATTATGTTCCGGGATCTGCAAAACTCACTTATTGATAATAACAAAAATATAGCTAATAGCTTAAATGCCCAATGATAGGGAATTGATTAAATTATGACAAATTTATATGATAAAAAACTATTTAGCCATTTAAAAATAAAATACTATTTAGCCATTTAGAAATCTCATAAAAAGAAGAATATATACCAAAGTGTTAGGGGGAGATATATTCATAGGAGAATTTTACTTTCTAAGTAATGCAAAGAGCAAAATATAATTTTTGAAATTTAAGAAAAGTTTTTTAAAGTATATATTAATAAAGAGATGATGTATTTGCTAATTAGCCAACTATCTCTTTTGTATATTAGTTTTCTTAGAGATGTATTCATTGTTTTTCTTTTTGAGATAGCATCTTGCTCCGTCACCAGGGGTTAGAGTATAGTGGCCTCATCATAGCTCACTGCAACCTCAACTCCTGGGCTCAAGTGATCCTCCTGCCTCAGCCAGCCAAGTAGCTGGAACTACAGGTGTGTACCACCACACCTGACTAATTTTTATATTTTTTGTAGAGACAAGGTCTTGATATTTGCTCAGGCTGGTCTCAATCTCCTAGCCTCAAGTGATCTTCCCACCTCAGCCTCCCAAAGTGCCAGCACCTGGCCAAGATGTAATGTTTTTTTTAAGCGACCATGCATATCTATCATCATTTACATGGTTGTGAATATATTTTGACAATCTTCCCACTCACCCCCCAAATTACACTTTTCATATTTTAGAATATTAATTGACAATAGGGGAAAACGTAAATGTGTAATTTAAACGTAAATGTGTGATGACCTGTAATGACAGATACCAAAATGTGTACAATACAATCCTAATTTCATATATACAATATGAATTATACCTAAATATCACATATATGTAAAATAGACCGGGAGGATATAAACTCAAATGTTGACAGTGGTTATCTCTGTATGATAGAATTACTGGAGATAATTAAGACATGTAAATATATGTTCATTATACTTTCCTAAGTGTTCCAAACTTTCTGCAGTGAAAACCCTAATGTATAGATTGAGGGCCCTGGAAGGAAGAAGGACACCACAGTGGTTTTAATGACTTTTGTGAAGAAATGGAGATGACCTTGTAATCTGTTTCCAGCTTTGCTCTGTATTATTCTACTTATATTACTATGACATGTTGTTTATATACTCCATTTATTTTTATTTGAAGTCCATTTTCTAATGACATTAAGCAAGACAGAATTCAAGTAGCACTATGTTCTTACCATGGTACTAGTTATTTCAAAAACAAAGTTTATTTCCTCCATCAAAAAAATTAAATGCCCAATTTTAAATGCTTTATTGTAATATTGCCATTGTGATATCTTATAATATGCCATATGTCAACCCTATCCATTATCCTAAAATTTAAAATCTAAGAATTTACTAGCAAAGAAATAGGAGAAGGGATAACACATTATTAGCTAAGAAGCCTCAATTTTGATGTCTTTTTATGAATTCTTAAGAAAAGTCAATGGGCATAGTGTCCATCTTAGTTTTTATTAAAGACTATATCAAGAAAAGGAATGGAAATTAATAAATTTACTTTAAAAGACATGTACATTAAACCTAGGGACATTTGGTACATGTTTTGCCTTGATATGTTAGTTTATTTTCACAAACATAAGACTTACTATACATTCAAGAACTATTTAAAAATATCACAAAAGCACCCATGAATGCTAATGTTATCTGTTATTATATTTAGTTAATATCTCTGTTACTGCATTATTCCAACTGTTGGGATAAAATGAGAAAATACATGCAATAGCATCTTTAAACTGTGAAGCACTATACAAATTATTTTTATGAGTAAAGCAAGCATCATTACTAGTTGAATTATACTCTTAACTTGCAGTATAATATTTATAGAGCCTGATAGTCTGAGTTTTAGCTAGGAACGTCAAAGAATAACTCCCCATGTGATGCCTTTTGATTTTAGGCACTTTAATTTCTATGTTAAATCCCTTAAATCGTCAGTGTGCAAAAAGGACAGTACAAAAAATGATGTGTTGGGTTTGTAAGAGGAGAAGGCTAAATACTACCTCTTAGAAGACAAGACTCCAATTTTACTTAATTATTCCATACATTTTAATAATTATTACAGTGTATAAGATATTGTGCTATCTGCTGGGTATTCAGTATAGTAGCGTGCCTTCAACACTCTGCCAGAAAGTTAACAACTCTGCCGTAGCCTTCACTTCTTCCTTGCACAGAGCTTCAACATTGGCATATTCTGGTACAGTGTCTTTTTGAGAAAATGAGTTTTTTTCCGTTAGGTAAATACCCAGTAGTGGGATTGCTGGATCAAATGGTAGTTCTACTTTTAGGTCTTTGAGGAATCTCCATACTATTTTTCAGAGGTTGTGCTCGTTTGCAGTCCCATCCACAGTGTATGTGTTCATTTCTCTCTGCATCCATGCAAGCATCTGTTGTTTTGGGACATTTTGATAAAAGCCATTCTCACTGGAGTTAGGTGATATCTAATTGTGGCTTTGATTCACATTTCTCTGATAACTAGAGACATGGAGTATTTTTTCATATGTTTCTTGGCCATTAGTCCATCTTCTTTTTTGAAAAGCTTCTGTTCATGTCTTTTGTCCTCTTTTTAATGGGGTTGTTTGATTTCTTCTTGCCGATTTGCTTGAGTTTTTTTATAGATTCTGGTTATTAGCCCTTTATTGGGTGTATAGCATGCAAATATTTTCCCCCGTTCTGTAGGTTGTCTATTTGCTCTGTTGATTGTTTCCTTGGCTGTGCAGAAGCTTTTTGTAAAGTTGGCTTTTAGCCACTTTTGTAATGCACAAAAATAATCTTAATGGATGTTAACAAAATCCTAGTCTCGTGAGAATTATTTGCTTGAACACCTTCCTGTATTTCATAAACTCCAGTTAAAATGACTCGGTGTATGAATTTGACTTGATCAAATTCAACCTTTTGCTAATGAAAATGAATAATTTCTTTATAAGAAAGTTCAAATAAAATATAAAAAATGTATTTAATTTAAAATAGTTTAATATTTTCTCCCAAATTTTTGACAATATTTAATTCTGACCAAGAGTAGCTCTGACCACATTGCTCCAAGTTATATAAGCTTTCTTAAATCATTTTTTTATTGTTACAATCTTTAGATAAGTCTATGGGATAGATATAAGTCAATACCAGCATCAAGAATGGATTGTTCTTTCTTACTGGCTTTAACTGAGCTGACAACTGTCTTCCATTTCAACAAGAAAAGTGTTAGTGCATAAATATTTTTCTCAAGAAGAATGAGTGAAGTCATTTTAAAAATTAACTTGACACCCTTCTTTGAAAGATCAAAGCTTGGCCTCTGAATTTAAAGCAGCTCTTTAAAAAAAAAAAAAAAAGTTAATTAAAATTTTTTAATGAATTCATTAAAGAAGGCAAATGAAAGTGAAGGAAAGTTATTTGCTGTCTGGCTATAGGAAGTTGAGTTAAACAGATTTTTCTACTTCATTTTTGAACATTTCTTCAGTTTTTGGAGTAAGAAATATCAAGGCCCTGACAGAATTTACTCACAATCGCTATTATCTTGCTACCAGTATTTTTGTAGTAAAACCAGGTTTCTAGTCCATTTGGATTTTGAAATGTCATAATTCAGACTTTCATATATCAGCTTTTTTTTTCTTTTGCCCCTTTGTGATAGAAAGTCTTGTTTAAGTTGTTTTTCTTCACCCTTGAATCTATATCTTTTAGAACTTTTTTTTTAAAAGCTAGTTTTTTTTGTTTAATGTAACATATGTGGAGGATTAAAGTAGGGATTCTGATTGTGAAAGTAAAAACATCCGTTGGGGATGTAAGTGAATTAAATGAGAAATATTAAATGAAAAATATAAATTAACTATACCCAGTCGTCAATATAGCCTATGGATTTATTTATAAAGGCTGGACATTGGCCTGGTGTTTAAAAGAAGTGAGAAAGAAGTTTCACAAAATTGAGAAGCAAAGATGAGACAGGTTAAAAAGAATTAGTAAAATCAAACCTGACAAGTTCTGGAATGAAGCAGTGAAATGAGTGGAATGTGTATTTAGATTCCAAGCCAAGAACAACTTTAAATATCCTGGTTACCTAAGATTGATAATCAGTTCTCAAATGGTTGAGTTAAGTGACAAGTCTCCTCTTAATCAGGACTTTGACAACCTAATGACAGTGGAAATAAATCTCAACTTCTGGAGGTCAGAGATCAAAACAGCACACTCAGAAAATAGAATTTTTTTTCAGAAACTATATTTTTAAATGTAGTATGATTTTTTTCATTCACTCTAGTATATTTATGTTTAACAAGAAAAATCTAAACTTTGTCCCAATTCTTGATATAAATTGGTATTCCAGAAAGATAATTCCTCTATATGACTCTTGTTGTATGTCCTCTGCACACACACACACACTTTATACTTATTTAAAAGGCAGCATTATATCTCATGTTTTTTCTAAGAGTTGACAAATTGTTTCACCTGATTATTAAAGTTCTATATTTTAAAACTTTAATTTTTTTTAGAAACTCCTAATTTTACAGATACAGAAACTGAGGTTCAAAGAGGTTAAGATTTGAAATTCATGAGTCCTTAATAAGGCTATGTATGTAAGAACAGGGTGTGATAAATTTAGCATGATTTTGTAGAAGGACTAAAAGATTATGTTCAGGGATCTGCAAAACTCACTTATGATAAAACAAAAAATATAGCTAATAGCTTAAATGCCAATGATAGGGAATTGATTAAATTATGAAAATTTAATATTATAAAACTATTTAGCCATTTAAAAATAAATACTATTAGGCCATTAGAAATCTCATAAAAGAAGAATATATACCAAAGTGTTTAGGGGAGATATATTCATAGGAGAATTTACTTTTCTAAGTAATGCAAAGAGCAAAATATAATTTTGAAATTAGAAAAAGTTTTTTAAAGTATATATTAATAAAGAGATGATGTATTGCTAATTAGCCAACTATCTCTTTTGTATATTAGTTTTCTTAGAGATGTATTCATTGTTTTTCTTTTTGAGATAGCATCTTGCTCCGTCACCAGGGGTTAGAGTATAGTGGCCTCATCATAGCTCACTGCAACCTCAACTCGCTCAAGTGATCTCCTGCCTCAGCCAAGCCAAGTAGCTGGAACTACAGGTGTGTACCACCAAACCTGACTAATTTTCTATTTTTTGTAGAGACAAGGTCTTGATATTTGCTCAGGCTGGTCTCAATCCCAGCCTCAAGTGATCTTCCACCTCAGCCTCCCAAAGTGCCAGCACCTGGCCAAGATGTAATTTTTTTTTAAGCGACCATGCATATCTATCATCATTTACATGGTTGTGAATATATTTTGACAATCTTCCCACTCACCCCCAAATTACACTTTTCATATTTTGAATATTTAATTGACAATGGGAGGGGAAACGTAAATGTGTGTAATTTAAACCTAAATGTGTGATGACCTGTTAATGA